TTAACAATGCTCTGAAGTCCTATTGCTTTCTAAGTACATAAACAATGACATAGCCATGGGAAAGTGAATCTTCAAAGGAAAAGAAATAGAAAAACAAGCTTTACTTAATTAACATTCTGGTAAGTGATGCAAAAATAATAAATATGACATCCCTTTCTTTCTACTAGTATGTAATGGCATCTGACAACAGTTCTTATTTATATTATTGATAATTAACAATAAAGTAATAATAATAAACTCCAAGAAGCACAGGAATATAAGGTGACTTTAAGGAAGAAAAAATGTTGCATTTCCTAAAAACACCAAATGCTATGTTTGGTATTAATTAATTCCAACATGAATAAAGAGGAAAAAACATCTGTCCAGCAGTATACAATCTAAAATTGGAACTATCCTGGAATGAACTTTTACTCTATTCAGTGAGTCATTGCCTGAGGAATTTCCACTTCAGCTCTCTGTTTTGGCTAATTCCCCACAAACAGATATGTAACCAGCTTCCTTCTTCCACATCCAGCATAATGTTGTTTTATACCACAGTTATCCCTCCACTGTATCAGGTAAATAAGAAAGGGAAATAGAGCCTGCTAAAGATTAACAATTTTTTGGCTTCATTCCAAAGGGAGAATGCCTAGAGCTGAAATGTCTTTGTTTTTGCTACCATTTGTAATTGTTCTTCATCTCAGAAACACAGTGCTGCTTGTCACTAAAGAGAGTCCTGTTTTGCTATGGTGGACTTTGTTCCCTTTTCCAAATGTGTTAAGAACTTTTATTTATCTTAGTACTATTATCTATAGTTTTCTCTTTGAAAATGACATTTATTTTATATGATTTCCAGAAGATCACTTTCATATATAATACTACATTCAAGATTTCAGTATAGAACAAATAAAAATAAAGCATAATTTAAAATGTATTTACCAAAGGATTCTGCTATAATTATTTAAGTACCACTCACAATTTTGTTTAAATTTTAATTTAGGATAGTTTAATCTAATTGCTGTATCCCAAATTAAAGTTTAGATTCTTAAAACTTTTTGAAGTACCTTTGATAATCTGTGTATTGAATTTTTTTCTTATCAAAATTTTTAGTCCATACTCTAAGAACGACCAGCTGCTATTTAAATCTTTATCATTCCAAAGTATAACTATTTAGAACTTGACTATATATTATTTTTCATTGCTTGAGTTTTCTTTACTTATGTAATAATGTTTGTGAGCATAAGGACAGATTGTTAAATATGTGCTCAAAAATGTTTGTTTGAATGAATTGTTAAAGAACCCACCTGGCAATACAAGAGATATAAGAGACACAAGTTCAATCCATGGGTTAGGAGGATCCCCTGGAGGACAGCATGGAAACCCACTCCAGTATTCTTGCCTGGACAGTCCCATGGATAGAGGAGCCTGGCAGGCTACAGTCCATAGGGTCACAAAGCCAGACACGACTGAAGCAACTTAGCATGCATGCAAGCTTTTGTTTTAAACTTTATAGTGTCTCACACAGAGTAAGCACTCAATAATTATCCATTTTTTTAAAAAAGCTGATAACAGTAAGAGATATTCCTAAGGGATTCACACTTTTTTAGTGCTCTTACAAATCACTGTCTTGCTTTATTTAAAATAGTGAATGGTTATCTGTAGGCCAAGTGTTTTTTCAGGTCCATAAATGTTACCTTGCTCCTTGGAAGAAAAGCTATGACAAACATGAAAGTGTTAGTCACTCAGTTTTGTCCAACTCTTTGCGACCCCATGGTCTGTCCATGGAATTCTCCAGGCAATAATACTGGAATGGATTTCTGTTCCCTTCTCCAGGGGATCTTCCTGACCCAAACTCCCTGGGTTGGGAAGATCCCCAGAAGGAAAAGGCTACCCACTTCAGTATCCTGGCCTGGAGAATTTCATGGACTGTATAGTCTACAGAGTCGCAAAGAGTTGGACATGAGTGAGAAAAATATCTACTTCTGCTTTATTGACTACACCAAAGCCTTTCAATGTGTGGATCACAACAAACTGTGGAAAATTATTCAAGAGATGGGAATACCAGACCACCTTACCTGCCTCCTGAGAAATCTGTATGCAGGTCAAGNGATCAAGTCAGTCAATTGAAAAGGAAATCAGCCCTGAATGTTAATTGGCAGGACTGATGCTGAAGCTGAAGCCCCAGTACTTTGCCCACCTGATGCGGAGACCTGACTCCTTAGAAAAGACCCTGATGCTGGGAAAGACTGAAGGCAGGAGGAGAAGGGGACAACAGAGGATGAGATAATTGAATGGCATCACCAACTCAATGGACATGAGTTTGAGCAAGCTCCAGGACTTGGTGGTGGACAGGGAAGCCTGGCATGCTGCAGTCTATGGGGTCACAAAGAGTTGGACATGACTGAGCGACTGAACTGAACTGACTGAAATGTTAGCAGAAAATCAGAATGAGATGAAGTGTTCTGCTGATGACAGAACATCAGATGGAAAAATTCACCATCAAACAAAACATAATTGCTATGTAATTATTTATGCTACTTTTTTGTTCTTTCTTTGAATTCCATTCCATCTGAGTTATCACCATTAGTGGTAAGGGTAACAAAAAAAATGGGAAAATATGCTAGTATATATAAATAGGAGAGGATGTGATCCCTGTGACTGAGTTCCTACACCACATTGTTAGTCACAGAGGGAATCATGAATAAGGAGCCCCAAGGATCACATGGAAGTTAGTTTTGGACAATTCTGGTACTATCTCTTCTCATATGAGAAAAATATAGGCAAAATTCAATCTAGCAGAGTTTATATTGAGGAACTATTGAAAGTAATGACTACACAGCATCCCTCAATTCTGGAGAAGTGATTTATTATATCACTAAGTACTACATAAAACATCTTTTGAATGTCCATTGTAGGGAAGAGAATTGTAAGAAAGTATTGTCAGACGAAGTAACATAGCACATTTTGATGCAGAGTATTGTGGGAGGGTGTTGTATCAGGTTGAAGATGACTGCAGATATTAACACTCAAAGGCAAACCAGTGTACAGACATTAAATGTAAATCTGAGACTATATGAAGGAGCCAAGAGAGATGAAATGGCCCCTGTCTAATGGTGTGTATAACTCACAATATGTATAGTTTATTGAGGGTAAACTGATTATTCACTTCTCAATAAATTAAACATGCCCTAAATTAATTTTCTTTCAGTATATATTTCTGAAAAAAGTCAATACCCAACCTTTTGTTTATGTTAATGAAATGTAAGTTTTAGTTTTCAAAAAAAATCCTTAAAGTATCATTTGTGTTTTCTCATAGATGTCTCATATATTCACTGAGTCACCAAGTTATATGTTTCTCCAATTTAGAAACATCTCCAATCTGTCCTTGTCTGCCACAACTCCAGTCCAAGCCTTCATCACAGAACCATGAAATTATTACAGTAGAGTCCTAAATGATTTTCCTATTTCCCCTAACCAAATTCACATTGTACATGTCTACTATATTAAACTTTCTATATGTTCATCATTTAACTTCTCTTCTTAAATATTAATATTTTCACTGACTCTTAAACATGTCCAGAATAAAGTCTTATCCAATGTGACTGGTTTTCATAGTTCTTCAGAGATTGGTTCCATATTTGCAATATAATCCTAAGACCTAGCACTTATCAAACATGCATCCTGCATTTGAGCTAGTTGTCTTTCCAAGTGTTTTGTGGCCAATTGCATTTCAAATTCTTTCCTTGTGTTTTTTTTTTTCCTGACTGGAATTTATCTATTTTCTCATCTATGTAATTAAATCTAACAATACATTAAAGCATAGCTATTGCTCCTCCTTCCCTCAAGCCATTAATTTAATGTCTGAAAACACACTTGCTGATATTGTTTTGATGTGAAATATTTAATGTAAATTCACATTTTCTCTCCAAAATTAAGAAGTAGCTCACATTTTATTCCTCTTATCTGAATCCCTAGTACTCTTCTGTCTTGTATTTTGTATATAGGCAGTAAATTAGCATGAAATATACAATAAGTTTAGAATGTTACCAAATCAACTTAGACTTGAAAAATATAAAAAATTCATTTGTAATAAGTGTTTTGCTTTTAATATATAGTTGTGTTCTGACAAAGTGCTTGATAACCTGTTCTCTAAATGTGCATATTTCACTTTCTAAAAAATTGTTAAGCAAATCTTTTGTTCAGAACCATGAATTACATAAATTTCAGCTCAGTCTTATATTTCAATCATCACTGTTATCAATAGTTTGAGTGAGTTGCAACCAAATTAGGTTTTATTACCAAATCATCAAGTTGATCTGTTTGATGTCACTAATTACTAAGGGATTATGGATATTCACAAACAGGGAATTAATCAATGCTTTATCTGGACTCAAGGAATAGTCATAAATACCCTTCTTTTATTTTTCCTGGATAGGAATATGAAGTATTTGATCCAGAGAAAAATGACTCTTCTATTATATCAAGTTTCACTTCTATTACTCATGGCTTTCAATTATGTAATACTACAGTGAGATCAAGGTAAAAATGTCAAGATAAAAGTATTTTAACTCATGATGAACACCCTGGGGATGCAAACCTTTCTTTTTTTTTTTTTTAATTTATTTTTATTTGTTGGAGGCTAATTACTTTACAACATTGCAACTGCAAACCTTTCTACAAAGTATTTTGTTATTAGGATTTCAATTGGTAAAATTTTAATAAATCAAAGACTGAAAAAGCACAAAAAGCAAATGAGATAATACTAAATCACACCCCATTGTTTTCTTCTGAATGGCAAATTTATGCCAACACTAACAAAAATTAACCATAATGCTCGTAGTGATACTTCTGACTGTAGTTTCATGCTATTTTCACCATCAGTTTGGAAAAAAGTTATTGAGTGAGAAATCTTTTCACCAAATTGACTGAAAGAAACCAAATGGGCCCATAAATACAAGATTTTTATCTTCAAGAAAAATAGAGCCTGTCCTTTGACAATGCCACAGAATATAACAAAAGCATATTTTAAGATCATTTTTAATGAGGGATAAAAGAAACAAAATGACAGGATTTTAAAATATCTTTATGGTTATATATATTAACAGATGCTTAAGACCTTCCTCTTGGACTTAAGTGATGACAACACATTTCTAAAATGGGCTTAAAATATTTTGAAAGTGCTGAGGGAGAACTGTTAAACGGTTAGAAACAATTACACTCTGACCATTTCTTTGGATTACAAACTGATGTATACTTTTTGCTTTTTCACTGAGTGAGTACAACCAATTTAAAAATTAGACAGTACAGATGCATTTCAAGATGGCAAATTATAAAGTGCACTGCCAAAGTGCTACGATAATTGTTATCGACAAACGTACATACAAACAGTACTGGATTAGAATGCTTCAGAGCAATAGTGTTTGCTAGCAGAATTACATAGTAAAAAAAAAAAAAATTAGAAAAATAAAAAACTACATGTCTCACTAAAACCTTACATAAAATATGTTCACTATTATTTGATTCATATACAAACACTCTGACCTCTAATTCCAGAAAATAATTTCTTAATTCAGACTTGCAGTAAATATTGGGACTGAAAAATGGGCCATGTCCTCAACGGTTGAGAGATGGTGACCATGAAAAAAACTTACCTAATTAAAAAAACAGAGATCATGGCAAGGAATGTAATGCACATGTGAGGGAATAGTTTAGAGAGGGGGCAGAGCTGGCAGAAGGTAACAGACATCAATTATGGTGGAACAGAACAAGTGGTTATAAACAAAAGTTACCATGAAACTCTGAAGAGTAGAATGAAAGTTGATGTGCATACACACACACACACACACACACACACACACACAAACGCAGACACAAGTTAGGTAAATATTAATATGACTTATAGTTGCAACTTTGCCACAATTATCTCAAAATATCATGAGGATCAAATATAACAGTTGTGAAAGTGCTACATAAACTATAAAATGCTATGCTCAGGTAAGACCTAATATTTACTCAAAATGCAAAGTAAATCTCTCATTCCAACTCTGGAAGAAGGCAAACAGTGAACTCTCTGGAGCACAGAGGGAAGAAAATCTTACTCCGGTCCATTTCCAGATTTTCTTGGAACCACAGGCTCTCCCGTCACTCTACAAGACAGCTTTGAAGGCAGAACAAAAACACTGTCCTGGTCTAATGAACAGGTTGGCAAAGTCACAGAATTGTGTGGTAAAAATTCCTTAATCTGTGGGAGACAGAGATTCCCTTTTCTGTTTGTTAACCTGCATCAAGCATTATTGTCTGCACAACATGATGTTAAATTATGCTAATTGTTTCTCTTTGAAGAAGGGAATGAGAGGGCAGAAAAGGTCATAAAATTTCACTAAAGCATGCCAAAGTACAAAACATTTTCCCTCCAAACCTAACTAATAGGATAGAAAAGGAAGTCTACAATGCATCAGGTATGTGTAAATTACAATGAAGTCATGACACCTACGGAAATAAGGGTTAGTAAGAGAAAATGACTTATTTAAGGCCACTTTTTCAACACCACAAAGTCAATATTTCTGACTCTGAGTCATATCAAACACTTGGCACTGTCGCCGACACAGCTTTCCATCAAAAAAAAAAAAAAAAAAAGAAACGAGGCTAGAAAGATAAAAATGTTAAAAGAGCTAACCCAGACTTTCAGCTTTCTTTTTTAAGCACTACCACTAGATTTTAGAGAGATTTTGGCACTGCAAAAAATTTCCACTAAAATTTTAAAGTTAAACACCAGTTCCATGTTCTCAGATCATTAACTCTCAGTGCACTTTTCCTTATATTAGCAGCACATGCAGTTGTTAATCATTGTAAAAAGTCCTAAAATTTTCGCAAAAGAGCACAAACTCAAGAAAATAGAGCTAAAATGACCTTATGAACAATCTATTCAAACCACCTCATCTTATAAATAAGGAAATTAAGGCTCAGATAGGATAAGTGACTTGTTCAAGGTCACACAACCTGCCAGTTCCAGACTCTTAAGATCAAGATTTAAATCTCCAAACTTGCAGCTCAGGGCTCTGCTCTTCTTCAGACCTATAAGAAATGACTGTATTTAAGCATTCAGTTCAGAATATTCTCAAAATTGAGTGTCACCAATAAAAGTAACCCATGTGGCAAGGAATGAACAGAGTTTAGTTCATACCAAAAATGAGCTGCCAGTCACTGTGATAAGATCTGTTTCTTTCTGAGACCCATGGCTTCCTGCTGGATTGGAGAATCCAAACTGGGTTTCTTCCTCCTGTGCAAAGAAGTCAGAGTCCGGATGTACATTCCATTCCGTTTTTGTTGGTGGCAGTAGTTCTGAGACACTGTTTTCACAAAGGGTGCTTGAAGGAGTCAGAGCATCTGTGTCTACTGTTAGCTTACTGCTAGGGATCAAAGCTTGGGGCTCTTGACTCGAGTTTTTCACAGCCAAAGAGCTCAGAGATGCCAACGGCCCCGCACTTAGACTTGAGACATCATCCATATCTAAGGGACCCTGCTGAAAACCTGCTGCTGTCGTTCCAAAGAAGAGTGAGGTATCCAAACTTTGAGGAAGGTCACTGGTGGCCATCAAGGCCTGAGGGTCCACCGCCTGCCCTAAGGAATTATTATTATTAGCAGGGAGGTTTCCTGCCAGAGTTGAGTTCACAGAAGCCACATCAATAGTCAAGATCCCAGAGTTCACCAATGCCGTGTCCAGTACTGCAGCAGAACTATTACCAGGCACATCAGAGAAGAGAGACACAAGCTCAGCATCACTGAGGTCACTCTGCCCCTGGCTGGTAAGTTCACTGCTGGGTGTAAGAGAATTTGCAGCTTCCAGCTGAGCTAAGAGATCCTGGCGCAGGTTGTGCCTTTTGGACATGTGGGTCTTCATGCTGTGCTTGGACGTGAAGAGTTTATTACAAGTGGCGACTGGGCATCGGCTTTTCCAAGTGTCCACATCCTGCAGGTGTTTCTTGGAGTGAATGTAGAGACTACTGCGAGCAGAGAACCTGGCACAGCAACCTTCCACTGGGCACACAAAAGGCTTCGTGCCCAGGTGGGTTATGCTGTGGCCCTTCAGATGTTCAGCCCTTGTGAAAGATTTCCCACACCCTTCCACAGGGCACATGAACCTCCTGTCGTCGTCGTGCTTCCGTTTGTGCCTTAGGAGTTTGGACATGCTAGTGAAGTTCCAGCCACAGCCCTCAAAGTCACAAAGGAACGGTCTCTCACCAGTGTGGCTCCGAAGGTGAATTTTCAGCCTACATGCCTTGTCATACTGTTTACTGCAGCCGGGAAAGGAACAGGAAAAGAGTTCCTGTTCCCTGAAGTGGGCGCGGTTATGGGAAAACAGGGCACTCACTGTGATAAATGTCTTCTTGCAGCTGGAAAACGCACACTGGTAGGGCCTCTCAGGCTCGAAGTGGCTGCGCTGGTGGGCGCTGAGTTTGGCCTGCGTGGGGAAGGTCTCCTCACACACCTCACATTTGAATGAGTTCTCCTGCTCGTGGCCCTTCATGTGTGCTTTGAGGTTATACACGGTGGTGAAGCTCTTGCCACAGCCCTCTGCTGGGCAGCCAAAGGGCCTCAGTTTGTCGTGCGACTGCAGGTGCCTCTTGAGCTTGTAGGAGGTGGTGAAGGTCCACCCGCAACCACCCAGGGGGCACTTGAAGGGCCGCTGGCCCTGGCTGCTGCTGTGTGTCAGCAGGTGCACCTTCAGCTGGTGCTTCTTGGCGAAGGTTTGTCCGCACTGCACCTCAGGACACAGGTACAGCAACACGCCCGGGCCCGGGCCTGACGGCCCGCGGGGGCTCTCAAGAGCAGCCGGGCCCTCCGCCTCTTCCTCAGGCGCTGGGGCAGGCGCAGGTTCTGCCCGCTCCGCCAGCAGGAGGTCGGGCGGCAGCTCCGGACAGTCTCCAGGCTGCGCGGCGTGCGGGATCCCAGCTTGCGGGGCTATCAGACCCCCGGGCTGCGGTGGGGGCGTGGCTAGAGTGAGGACGCCGTTCTCCAAGCGCAACAGCAGGTTTTGGTTGTGAATGGTGACAGTGCCTGCGAAGGCCGCGGCAGGGCCCAGGCCTGGAGCGGGGATCGGGGCCAGGGCCGGGACTGGAGCGGGGATAGCCGACAGGCAGCTGGGGCCCAGCGCAGGGCGGCCCTCGGGGTTCGCGCCGCTTTCGCCCCCCAGAAGCCTTGGGCCCAGCCCGGCCTCCTCCCTCCACACGGGCCCTGCGGCCTGGCCAGCGCCCGCGGTATCTACGTCTCCACCCACCGGGTCCAGCAGCACCAGGAAGAAGTCATCGCCGCCGCTGCTGCCGCCGCCGCTGCCGCAGCCGCTAGCGTCATTGGGCCTCAGCGCCAACGGGCTCGGGCCCGGGCCTGGGCACGAAGAAGCCGCGCTGGCCTCCTCACGCCGCCGCCTGGGCCCGCCATCTTGGGGGCCCCGGAGCAGCAGGAGGCGGCGCGCCGGGGCCTGACTGGCCCGCAGGTCAGGACCTCCGCGGATCCGGCCGCCGCCCTCGGGGCTGCCAGCCCCTCCGCCTTGTCGCATCCCGCGAGCCGGGAGCAGCCTCGGGATTTCCATCTCTGCGTCCGTGAAGCTCCACTGGAACCAGAGCCGCGGAGGAGGCGCGACCCCGCCCCCTGCCGCGGGCCCGAACACGTTCCTCAAAGAGGAAAAAAAAAAAAAAATGTGCACTGCGCAGAAACTGGCCCTATCAGATATTAAAACGTGTTTAACGCCACTGTGATTTAAATATTCTTGTACAGGGTCTCTAGAACAGAATAGAACGCCCAGGGGCAGAGCCTCGTATACCTATATAAGTTCCACTGTTAATATTAGTAGGAAATCAAGGAGGTCTTCAGAGATACGAGGGAAACGGCAGTTCACTTCAGTAAAAAGTGCTGGAATGAATACCTTAGGTATCTATCTACTAAACGGCAATATAAACCGGAACCTCATGGTATGTACCAAAATAAACACACATACCCCAGTCCCTCCCAGTGCTCAGCATGGCAGTTAGCACTTACCATGTGTTAAACACTGTGTATTGGATGGATAGATGGCTGGATTGATAGGTGACAGAAAATTCCTGAGAGAATACACTATGGGAAAGGATGTCTTTTAAAAAATTTTCCTGGAGACTTCTATATTCAGAACTGTCTTGAAGCAATGTCCTCAGGCTGGTGCAGAGACTAGAATGAGTAAGAGGTGGGGTCAAAGCAGATTAGCACTGTTGAGCCTAGAAATGCAAGGCCTGGAGGATGAAGCAATTTATATTGAAATCTGGAAGACCCAACCTACTCCTGGGTTCTCCCTATAAGGTGCACAACCTAAACCAACTCTTTGCTCTTCCAGCTTTGGGTACACCATGGTAAATTTCATGTCAAATCTCACAGCATGATGAGAACATTCCTCAGCTTACTCTAGATTCTCAAGCACGTGGAGGTCTCTGGATAGCAGTACTGGTGAAATGTGATAAGGTTAAATCCTAAATTACTGTAGTGGACTCTCCTGAGAAAAAGGTGCAGATGCCTTTTGCCTGCTCTGAAGCTTTAGTGTGCCTGCTTGCATTTAAGTGTGGTGGCCTAGTCTCACTGTAATGGGTTTGGCCTGTGATGCCTAATGATCTTATTAATGTTGATGATGATCCTCCAATTTGTCAGTCATCAGTGAGTTGAGAATTGATATAAACATAGGGTGAATTATCTGGCAAGAGAAAGGTTTCAAGGGCTGACTAGATTATGGGATACCTGTAGTTTAAATGGGCTTCCCTGGTGGCTCAGTGGTAAAGAATACGCCGGCCAATGCAGAAGACGTGGGTCCATCCCTGGGTCGAGATTCCCTGGAGAAGGAAATGGCAACCCTTTGCAGTACTCTTACCTGAGAAATCCTATGGACAGAGGAGTCTGTCTGGCTACAGTCCATGGGGTCCAAAAAGAGTTGGATGTGTCTTGGTGAAAAATCGACAGTTTAACTAATCCCTTGTGTCCCCTCTTTTAATAATGGACACTTGCTGATCTCTTGATTAAAAGATCAAGTTTTTAATCCATAACAATTCAAACCTCATCAAAATTTTTACATCACACGTTTTTCTTTCTATTATGTTTTAAAAGGAAGCTTTTTTTTTTTTTTTTTAATCTGAGGCCCAGTTCAGTTCAGTTCAGTTGCTCAGTCGAGTCCGACTCTTTTCGACCTCATGGACTGCAGCACGCCAGGCCTCCCTATCCATCGCAAACTCCCAGAGTTTACACAAACTCATGTCTTTGAGTCCGTGATGCCATCCAACCATCTCATCCTCTGTAGTCCCCTTGTCCGCCCACCTTCAGTCTTTACCAGCATCAGGGTCTTTTCAAATGAGTCAGTTCTTGGCATCAGGTGGCCAAAGTATTGGAGTTTCAATTTCAACATCAGTCCTTCCAATGAATATTCAGGAATGATTTCCTTTAGGATGGACTGGTTGGATCTCCTTGCAGCCCAAGGGACTCTCAAGAGTTTTCTCCAACACCACAGTTCAAAAGCATCAATTCTTCAGCACTCAACTTTCTTAATATTTAAACTCTCATGTCCATACATGACAACTGGAAAAACCAT